GTCCTTATGCAATTATTTATAAGACGTTATCAATTATAAGTACAAGTATAGTAATTCTAGTCCCTACTTCCTATTGTTTCTAGTGTTTTGAGTGTTTCTAGTTTTTTTTTGTGATTCGTGGTTTTAGTTCTTATTGTATAAAAATATGAATCCAATATATGACCCAATTGTATGTTTACTTGGAACTCCATTCAGTCAATGTAATACTCGTGATAAAACAGATATACTTGAGCAAGGTAAACCAACTCCATCTTTATCATGTTTAACTTCTGACAAAAAAGGTGGCAAAGTGTTTTCTAGATCATTTAGTGTAGCTTGGTATAAACAACACTCTTGGCTATGTGGCAGTTATTACCTACAAAAATTATTTTGTTGGCCTTGCTTGGTATTAGGGCATACAAAGTCTTTTTGGTCTACTGAAGGGTATTGTGATATTAAAAATTTGCCTAGAAGTTTACAAAGACATGAGTTGTCAAAGGAGCATATTCGAAATCATTTTAACTTAAAAACTTAGAAAAAAATTCTGTAACTATTGTTGATGCTCTCAGTGAACATGGAAAGTTATTTAAAAAGCATTATAACGAAAATGTGAGACTGAATAGATTATTTATGGAGCACATTATTGAAATAATTATATTTTTGGCTAAACAAGAATTAGCATTCCGTGGCCATGATGAAAGTAGCAATTCTTTAAATAAAGGAAATTATAAAGAGCTCTTTGAAATAGTTTTTAGTAGGTGTTCATTAGAAATAAAAAACCACTATAAAAGTATTCAAAATAAGTTTTCTGGTTTATCAAAAACAATTCAAAATGATTTAATTACATGCATTTCTGAATACTTGTTTAGTCATATCAAACAAGAAATCAAACAATGCATGTTTTATTCTGTTCAAATAGATGACACCACTGATATAACTCAAAAAACACAATGTTCTATCATTTTAAGGTTCGTTAATAAAAATTCAGAATTAGTTGAGCGATTTCTAGGTTTTCATAATGTAAGTGATGATCATACAGCCGGAGGATTATTTAACCTGATAAGTTCTGTTTTAAATGAGTTTGACATAGAGAAAAAGTTAGTTGGCCAATGTTACGATGGGGCAAGTGTAATGACAGGGCATTTGACAGGATTACAAGCGAGAGTAAAAGATGTTGCACCCAATGCAATATTTACTCACTGTTTAGCGCATAGGTTAAACTTGGTACTGCAAAATGGCTGTAATATGAGTTCAAAATGTCGTATATTTTTTGCAAATCTAACTGGAATCTCAGCTTTTTTCCATAATTCCACCTCACGCACTAACGTTGTTGATTATATAGTAGGAAAACGCATTCCACAATTTGTTCAAACAAGATGGTCTTCGCGTTCAAAAATTTTGAATTTGTTAGTCAATGAGTGGCCTAACTTTATAACTGTTTTTGACACTATTAGCATTGATCCAAAATCATCTGCAGAATCAATTTGTGGTGCTATTGGGCATTCAAAAAATTTGAAGTCTTTTGAGTTTGCTTTTATAGCACACATTTTTAATGATATTTTTTTAATCACTAACCATTTATTCAATACATTACAAACTAAATCCTTTGACATAGAATATTGTCTTAGAAAAATAAAAACAACATGTGATCTCATAGAAAAAAAAAGGAACGATGATAATTTCTTAAACTATTTTAATACCGCAGTTGAATTAACAAAACATACCACAACAACAAGACAAAATTCTAAAAATGAATTAAGTTGTAAAATGTTATTTTATGAAATAATAGATAATATTATAATGCAATTGAATACAAGATTTAGTGATACTGATAAATTAAAATTTTTACAGTTAGGTGATGTTACAAAATTTAAAGAATATTCTACTAGATTTCCTGATAGTGGCTTGAATTGTCTTAAAAATACATTTACTAATATCTTTCAAGACAATAATAAACTAAAAACTGAATTAGAAGTTTTGTACAGTGATATTAGGTATCACAATCTTCAGCATGTTTATGACCTAATTAAAATCTTTGAGAGTGATGGGTTAAAAGAAGTTATGCCAGAGGTGTATAAATTATTTGCATTAATATTAACTATTCCTTCAACAAGCGTTTCAGTTGAAAGAAGTTTTTCTTGCCTAAAAAGAATCAAAACTTATCTGAGAAATAGTACTTGTCAACAACGTTTAAGCTCTTTGTCAACAATATCAATTGAAAAATTATTAATACAACAACTTAAAGAAACTGAACCTTTTTTTGATGATGTCATAAATATGTATGCTAGTCAGAAAGAAAGAGTTATTGATCTTATATACAAAACTTAATATTTTTATTTTTAAGCAGTTAAGTGTACATAATTTTGTTTTTTTATTAGAAAAATTTATCTAGTCAGTAATGAAATTGATTGTCAAATATTTTATCTATAGGATTTAATTTATAACATAAAATAAGAAAGTCACTTGTTTTATTTGTTATACTTACTAAATGCTGTCAATTGGTTTTTAATAACTAAAAATATTTTATTATATGTTGAGATTTATTGAATCATTTTTTTTTTAATTAAATATTATGAGCTTATTATTTTATTTGTTTAATGCATTTTTACTTTTAAATTGTTTTTAAAGAAAAAAATGCAAATTTTGAAATTTAGATATACCTACCTATTTATTGTTATTTTATATTTTATTTATATTTTATACCTACTAGAAAGTACTAGTTATTTTTACACAAAACTATGTACTTATACAATTTTATCAATTAAATGTATTACTATTGAGTTTTTACTTTTTTAGTATACAGATCACAAATTATTCATTTTTGATTTTATTCCTTTTTAAATAGGGTCAGGGATGTGGGGGGCGAAGCCCCCCCCCACAGGTCTCTTATGTGAAATTATTTGTCGCCTCCTCAGAAAATTATTGCCAAAACCGCCACTGGAATATGGAGTGACAATACTGTACAATCTAGCCAAGACGCTTTTTCCCAGGGACTATCAACAGGTGCAGTCAATCCCACAGGTAAAGGGAAGCGACTCATAGTAGTTCACATAGGGTCCGAAGACGGATTTGTTCCAGGTGGGCTTCTATGTTTCGAATCCAAAAAAAAAACACCCAAGACTATCACGACGAGATGAATGGGGATTCTTTTCGTGATTGGTTGGAAGGTGTTTTGCCGAGACTCAAGGAAAATTGTGTGATTGTGATGGACAACGCTCCTTATCACTCAGTGAAAAAAGAGAAATGTCCAACTACGCAATGGCGAAAGGCAGACATCATCAATTGGCTCACAAGTAAAGGGGAGGTAATCGATAACTCGATGATAATTCCGGAGTTATTAGAAGTGGTAAAACGATTGAAACCTTTGTATTCAACCTATGTGATTGACAAAATGGTTAAGGAGCAAAACAAAGTAGTCTTACGTTTACCTCCCTACCACTGTGAGATAAATCCTATAGAATTAGCTTGGTCTGTCGTCAAAGATCACGTAAAAGCCAACAACAAAACTTTTAAGCTAGCCGACGTACATAATCTTCTAATCGAAGGTACTGTAAAAGTTACTGTTGAGATGTGGAAAAACTTTATCAGCCACACCACGAAAGCAGAAGACAAGTTTTGGGACATGGATAATTTGATTGATGAACTGATGGCAGAACAACAGAGAGTTGTACTAACTATCGGCAATTCTGATGACGAAGATGATTCTGATTTTTAATGATTTTTTATTATTGTGTAAATATTTAATTTGTATATTTTATGTGACTGATTTATTTTACTATTGACAATTTTTATTTTTTAATTTATGTGTAAATATTTAATTTGTATACTCGTACTTTATGTGACTGATTTTTTTTTTACTATTGACAATTTTTTATTTTTGTGTAAATATTTAATTTGTATATTTTGTGACTGAAGTGTTTTTACTATTGACAATTTTTATTTTCTAATTTATGTGTAAATATTTAATTTGTATATTTTATGTGACTGATTTTTTTTTACTATTGACAATATTTTTATTTTTTATACATTATATAGTTACTCGTTTGTACATTATTATTTCAATATTTGTGTATTTTATATTTATCATACAGATATACCTAATTTAATCTATAATAAATTCCGTATTTTTTATTATGGACTTATTAATAAGTATTATGTTTGCTAATAAAATTAATTTTTTTTTAAGTACAGCTATTTATATAGGACTAAGCATAATTCAGACATAATTATTTGGGAAACCGATTATTATTACGCAATAACTTGTATTTGTTTAATTTTGTTGTACGGCATTGATTTCATTCTTTGTAATTCGGTGTATACACATCGACAATAGTCGGTAAAGTTCGGAAATGATCATCGGCGTATGGTAGTGGGGGAAATTGTGGTAAAGCGTTGCTACGCTCGTCATTCGAGCTGCGCAAAACCGGTGTCTTCTCTTTTGGAACGGAGTATAATACAAATCGTATTTACTAATGTCTAATAGTAAAAAGTAACAAGGACTCTAAGATTTAGCTATTTTACCATTTTTACCACATTTTTGGTAAATTTACCAGTAAATTTACCGATATTTTTTTTTACGTAAATTCTCCATCACTAATTACATATACAAATTGTACCACGACTGTTTAGATTGTATTTGTCCGAATATTATTATTATTATTATTATCACCACGAAGAAAGTGATAGTGATATCTTTTATTCTATTATCAATTATTGTATAAACTGTCCAAGGTTTATAGATAATAGAGGTTGCCTTAAGCTAGGGATACACTATTCACACGCCACGTCTTAACATGTCTTTACACGCCACGCGTCAACACGCCGATAATTTTAAATCGTGTGTTATCGCATTTATTTTTAAATATTCGATTCTGTGATCATATTTATAACACGCAACGCATTCCTACTCCATTCCACGCCATTCCACGCCATGCTTTTCAAACAATTTTGAAATACGTGTAACGTGTGATGAGAAATATCGTCATTTTACTACGAGCTTTCGACGTTCTCCTATCCTGACGATGTCCGCTACATATAGCGAAGAAAATTTAATAGAAAATGTTCGTGCTCATACATCATTGTACGACATGTTTTCGGAGGACTACAGGGACCAGAATGTACGCAAAGAAGCATGGGTAGAGATTGGTGATGCGTTAAAAATCCCAGGTAAATACTATATTATTATATTACTTTATAACTTTATAATAAATCTATATACTTAATAGTCCCAAAAATATGCCAATTAATATGCAGTCAAAATTATAAAAATATGCAATAAAATTTCAATTATTTACATCACACATTTTTACAATATTAATATTGGTAAGTACTAATATTTAAATATTTTAAAAAAGGTATTATAAATTAATATATTTTTCCAAATTGTATTTATTATTTATTATTATTTATTTATTATCTGTCAACTTAATATTTGTAAATACTGAGATCGATCGTTCGACGTCAACCGAAGTGGTTGGGTGATATTTGATCAAGTAACTAAGTATTGTTGGGTTTGTAAATAGGTATAATCAAGCTAAACGTTGATTATAGATTTACAATTTTAGGTCCTAATCGATTAGTTACCTATCTTATCTTTATTTAAATTACTATTTAGTGCCTATGCAATTTATTTTTGATTTTTCTACTCGACAAAATATTATTTTATACACATTTTTAGAATGTTAACTTCAATATGCAAAAATACACAATGTACATTTTGTATTTCGTAAAGATAACAACAATATATAATAAATGAAAAAAAAAAATTTAATTATCTTATATTCAATCAATTAACAATACAAATTTTTCCTAAACGAATGATATACAAATAAAAATGTCATCAAAGTTTTAATATTAACCATTAAAAAACGAGAAAATTAGGGAATTTCATTAAAAAATTATAAAATTATTATGATCATTAATTGATTCTTCCTCTTCGAACCATTTCATACTGCCACGGTACCGAACCATTGGATGACAAAAAATAATCTCTATATTTATCACATACTTCAAATGATCGTTGTGTACTATTTCCTCTTAATGGCTCTAAATTGTCTAGACCTTCTCCGATTTCACTTTCCTCGTTTATATCATCTAAATAATAATCATAATCATGACTACGACAAAGCATGTTATGAAGACAGCATGCAGCAAGTACTATTTTGTCCACTGAGTTAGGCTGTACTTGTATGACTGTTCTAAATACTCTCCAACGAGCAGACAGTATTCCAAATGCGTTCTCCACAACACGACGTGAACGTGAAAGTCTATAATTAAAAATTTTGTTCCTCTCATTTCCAGCAACAGATACTCTACTGTACGGTTTCATGAGATATGGTTTTAGGGCAAATGCTCCATCTGCAACAATCACGTATGGCATAGGTTCTCCATTGTCTTCCAGTGGTGTATCTTCGGGTACATCCAACTTTTTGTTTTCAAAAGCATTTCCTAATATAGATTTGGCGAATACATTTCCATCTGAGTTACGACCATAAGATCCCACATCAATGGTTATAAATCTATAATGAGCATCCACTAGAGCAAGTAGAACTATTGAATTTGATCCTTTATAATTATAGTATGCGGATCCTCCTTTTATCGGACACCTAATGTTGATGTGCTTACCATCGAGAGATCCAAGACAATTGGGGAAATTCCACAATTCTTTGTACTCCTTGCTAATTTTTTTCCAGTCATCTTTTGTAGGCTTTGGCATATAAATAGGACTTAATACTTTCCAAATAATATGGCAAACTTCCTCAACAATTTCTCTGATGGTACTAAATTCCATACGAAAACTAAAGCCTAATGATCTATACGATTCTCCTGTAGCTAAAAACCTGTGAACATTTAAACATAATTAATATTAACTAATGTCACCTATATTGTAAGCAATGATAATTGCTGACAAAATAATTCTGAGGTTAGCTTGGTGTATAAAATATTTTATTTTGAATTCTTATAATCAATTTTAGCATACTAGTTAAACTTATTGTGCATTATAGCTGATAAGTGTAAGTCAGAGTGGACGAAATTAAGAAATTGTTTCCTAAATTCGATTCGTAGACGCCGTCAAAAAACAAGTGGCCAGTCTGCCAAACATATTCCTGCATGGAAATTTTCGAAACAAATGGAATTTCTTCTACCTTTTTTAGAGAACCGAGAGTAAGCATCCTTATAATTATTTAATTTAATTTAATATAATATTGGTTTGAATTGAATTTAGAACACACAGTAACATAGAAGTTCATAACCAAGATGCAAGGCTGAATGATATGCCAGAATTACCCGAATCACAGAGAGACCAGCTGCTTAGCCCAGAATTACACGAATCACAGAGGGACCCACTGGTTAGCCTAGAATTACCCGAATCGCAGAAAGACCAGATGTCTAGCATTGAACTAGATCACAGTTTATTAACTGCACAAAAAGCCCCAACGAAAATAAAAAAATCCAACTATAACGAGGAAATGGTTGAAATAATGAGAGCAAACTCAAACTTCAGAAGGGAAAAGTATGAAAAAAAGGCATATATGAATCATGATGAAGTTGAAATGTTTTATTTGAGTATGGCTAAAATCGCAAAGCGCCTCCCAAAAGCCAAAGAGGCAAAACTTCGTATGGAAATTTGTAACAAAGTATCTGAAGCAGAGTTGGCTCATTTATTGGAAGTCGAAACCATACAACAACCGCAAGTATCAAATCAAAATCAAGTTTTAAGCTATCAAAATATAATGCATTACCAAAATCTCCCATCAGTTCTTCAACCGCCAATTTCAACATTACATGTGGTAGAAAGCAACAGCAGGTCCTCTCCATCCACTTACTCAGATTACTCAAATCAGTCAATAGGTACAACTTATAGTAACGAAGAACAAAACTACAGTCGTTCACCACTGAACAACTTCATGCAGCCGAACTTCGATCATTCCAACAAGTACATTGAAGAAAATTCCTCAAATAAATATAAAGCATTATGAATGGCCAAATATTTTACATTTATGTTTTTTTCCAAGTTATATATTTTAGCATTCAATTAATTTTAAACTAAATGGATTTTTATTTTATTTTATTTTATGTTCAGATAAAAACGCATTAAGTTAATTATTTTAATCAATATTTTTGTCTAAGAAGTAAAGACATTTTTCGAATTAATTATTTTGTTTTAATTGATTTTTTTACATTGTTTTCATCATACAAAATTAATAAAAATTAGTAATTAGTAATTCGTCATTCGGGGCTATGTGTACCTGAAGTATGTATAAATTGTAATTGAAACAAATTCATTTTGTATTTGCAAATTTTGTTCGCATAAAATATTAAATAAATAAATTGCAATCATTTACTTACCTTAAACATACAGCTAATCTTTGCTCTGATGGTATAGCTTCCCGAAAATGAGTGTTTTGTTTTTTAATAGAATCTTTCACTAAATCGTGTAAGTAAATTGTTCCAATGACATTCGGAAGTACTGATGAAATTTATCTGGGTCATTTTTTAATTGAGGAAATAAGTTTAAAAAAACTCCTTTTTGGTTCCTTTCCGCATTAATTGGATGAACCCATAATTGTCGGTTACTTGTGGACTCTTTAAAAAAAATGCCACAGCCATTTCATTTAACTCTTCTTCCCAATCACTGTCAGACGAACTTGAATAATTCATAACTAATATTTTACTTAGGTATATGATCTCAAACCGAAATGCAAAACGGTACTGACGCAACTGCTTAACGTACACATTTTTATACAAATTTTTCGTACGTGGTATTCGTTGCGTTGTGTGTATGTGCTCAATATATTATTACACGGCGTGGCGTGTAAAGGCATGTTAACACGTGGCGTGTGAATAGTGTGTCCCTAGCTTTAAAGTCGTGTAAACAAATCAAAACCCTCCGCTCCGTCCCCAATCAAGTGACGTCATCCATCGTACAAAATTTAGTGGGTATTTATTGTTTGTATGACACTAGTCTGTAGTACAAGTTTATAATTATTATGTATTAATAAAGTATTTTTATTGTTTTTAAGTAGAATATTTATATATTAATATTTTTCTCGTTCTTTGATTATAAAACATGTTTCTTTTAACATCATCTTAGATTGAAAATCAATAATGTGGAAATGAAATAATGGTCGCACACACCTTCCGCAGGTCCTGGTTCTAATTTTAAGTTTACTTTGCAAAGTACCTAACCACCTACCATATGCGTCGCATCAAATAATAAATATTGTTCATCACCAATCGGTATGCTGAGAATAGAAATTGCTTAACCATGAACTACTTGAGCAGTCTTTTCACCAAAACACTTACCAGACATTTCCTGTACACGAAAAACCTCAGTATGAGCTCTTAGCTCTTATAGTGCTGGACACTGGTCAATAATATGCCCATATTATTGTTTGAATTACATCGTAAATATTATTTTAACAAATGCATTTTCATTTTGTATAATAATATGCATATCAATTATAAAGCATTGTAGTTGTACATATTAATTAAATTTATTAAACGTAGTATTTTTCAGCATTAATATTATAATAATAATTATGCTTAAGTAAACTGTAAGTTTACACAATTGATATAAAAATATAAAAATAATATAAAAAATAGTTCAGTCAAAAACAAATAAAAATAATACCTACATTAATAATTTAAATTTTAGTGGATTACATTTAAGTCATCAGTCTTTTTAATTTTTGTAGTTTTTGGAGTTGAATTTTTGCTTTTCTTTTTTTATTTAAAATATTTCTATGCTGATTTAAATATTTCATACGAATAAATATTCTTTGTTTTACATACGTCTGCATAACAGGTTTATACTTTTCTTCAATTTTCATTCTCTTAATAATTTTTTTAGACAAATTTTTAACAACTTTAGGTCCTTCTGGAATTTGTTGTTTGGTAATTTTGTTTAATAATTTTTCAATTCTAAAAATATGAGTTTTAAAATTATAACTAGGAACTATCAGCTCGCCATAGGATAAATGATTTATCCATGATGGCATACTATAATCATGACCATTTTCGTTTTGAGCAGCATTATACTGAGTTGTAGTTGAACCCAATTCTGGAAGCTGTAGTCTATATTTTTTTGCAACCCACCCTGCCAAATATTCCATTGCATCTCTACTTTTTATCTTCGCTGATAATTTCTGAAAAACTACTTTCACTTATTATATCTATAGTGATTAGCGAGTTTTTGTACGACAGTTGACGTCACGGACAATTTACTCCCACTCCCACATTTTCATAATTTTCGAATTGAGGCAACCACTATTATCTATAAACCTTGTAAACTGTCAACACTTCATCGTTGGTGATACGTTAATTTGCACGTTTTACTATTATATTTGTGTAATCCATACTTTAAATACGGCTCGGATGTTTATATTTTGTATGGTCACCTCTCTTTAGGCAATTCTCCACGTTTATTCCCAGTTCATCTTTCGGTGGTGTAGTCATCGAGGCCGACCACAGATTTGTAGGAGCCTCGTGGCTAAACACTTAGTATATTTAAGCATACAATCAAAAGCAAATCCTGGAGCAGTCATATAATGAGCAGGATCTAGTCTAAGAGTAGACAAACTAAAATTTTCGAACACTTCTGTTAGTATAGTAACATCAGTTTTTAAGTAAAGATCGCTATATTCACCCAAAGTTTTTAAATCGAATAACTTTCATATTTTTTGGACATTACAATAATCACTAATTTCCTCATCTTTCAAAGAATTATAAAATAGAGATTTTGGAGGTAAGCAGGTTTCATTTAATTTACTCCAACTATCGATGTATTCATAAGGGAAAACACCTTTTCGTGTTACTAAATTTAATTTTTTATTCGACACGCACGCGTATATGCTCTTCTTATGTTTTATTCTCCTAATACGTCAAATATATACATTTATTTTTCATTTTTATATGGTTAAAACGGAATAAAAACATCTCTAAAAGTTACTAACAGTTAAAGTAAATTCATCTTAATTTACTAGTGTAAATTAAAAAATAACTAATTTTATAATTAACCAGCGTTAAAGTGACCAAGGCCAAAGAGAAGCCCCGGCCATCAGCCGGCGGCCAATTATCGTCGACCAGCCGACGCGCCTTATCTTCTTCAGATTCAGATAACGTTAACCGAAAAATTATAATGAACCCTACAAGCCTATCCACTACCAAAAAAAAAATAAAAACAATCAAACAACTCACTCCAATATAAATAATCTTCCAAGCAACTTGCACGTGAATAGCATACAGAGCGTGCCAAATGACGTTTTCAATTCTTCCGAAGAAATTAACAAAGTAGGTTTTGAAACTCCAAAATCAAAAAACACCTCTAAACGAATCATTCGTCTACGGATTCTCTGGTCGCCAAGAAAATGTTCATTACCCCTAACAGATATGCCCCACTTATAATAAATAATAGCCAAAATGAAAACAATTTCGCCGAAAACGAAAATGATGCACAAATAAATGACATAAACATTGAAGCCGATGAAGCGCAAAATATCAAACAAAAACTTCCCCCCTTCAATCATTGTCAAAGGTGTACTAGATTTTGTTGGCTTTCGAAACAAGTTAATCAATTTAATCGGCCCGGAAAATTTCACATTCAAATCGTCTACCAACTATTTAAAAGTCCAAACCACCAAACCTGAATTTTACCGCGAAACAATTCGTTTCTTAAAAGAAAAAAACGCACAATACCATACTTACCAATCACAGGATGACAAAGCATATCGAATAATTATCCGTAACCTTCACCCGACCACGCCAACAGTGGAGATCGGAGTCGCTATCGAGGAAATTGGATTTTCGGTACGCCAGCCAAGTAACAAATGTTCGTCATAAAACAACGAAAATTAATCTTTCTATATTTTTTGTCAACCTTGAACCAGCAACAATTAATACTGATATATTCAGTGTAACTTCACTTTTCCACACCAAAGTAAAAATAGAAGAACCACACAAACGAACAGATATAATCCAATGCATGAACTGCCAAGATTATGGCCACTCAAGAAAATATTGTTCCTACACACCAAGATGTGTCCGTTGCGGTGTAGAACATCCAACTTCCCAGTGTGTCAAAACCAAGGACTTGCCGGCCAAATGTGCTCTCTGTATGGGTAATCATCCAGCAAACTACAAGGGTTGTCAAGTATATAAAAATCTCCA